AAACTAATCAGGTCTCTGCATAGTCCTAGAAGATCTATGTAGCAAGTCTCATTGAAATATGATGATCAGTACTTGAGTTATCAGGCGAAAAGCTGAAAATTAACTAATTATGCTATTCAGTCATGGAACAGCTAAAAATCAGCTAATTATCATGCAAATTAGGTAATTAATATGCATGGATTTTTACTAAAACCTAATCAAATCTGCGCATTGGCCCAGAGCATCTATGCGCCAAGTTTCATCAAAAATCAATGTATGGTTCTTGACACATACACACAGACAGACAGACAGACAGACAGACAGACAGACAGACAGACAGACAGACAGACAGACAGACACACTAACTGCAAAAACTCCCTTTTTGTGCTTCGCACACAGGAGTAAAAAATATAAACAAAAGAAATTTAGTAAATATTATGGTTAACAATATTTCTGTTGATGAAACACGATGACGTATACTATTATGTATTTAAGATGAATGATGTTATTTTGAGGCAGCAGACTACATGTATGTATTTTAAATTTCTCTGATTTTAAGGTAGCGAGACTATTATTTGTGTTGAAAATTACGATTTCCACATTTATTTATTAATTGATGAAATGCACTATAAACTTTCATGTGATAAAGTCAACATAACATAGAATGTCATGTAAGTTGGTTAAAATGTAGATTTTCTGAAGGGGAGCATGACAGCAACAGTAGTGTTTTCCAAAATCAACAACACAGGTTTAATCTGTGTGCCTATAAGTTTCAAAGATAAACTCAAGACAAAGCAATGTTAGGATGTGTTATCAGTAGCTATCTGACACACAATGAGTGTTTCCAAACATTTGAGTGGTTTGTCTCCGCCCCTGTTTGTTTCACAGATTAGTCATTTGCATATGAATGTGTCAGACACAAGGTCACACAGCCACTGAAAAAAATCATTGATTTTGGTGTTTTCATCTGCCGATTTTATCGAATTATAGCTATCCCATTCCTTTATTTTTTGGTCTCCAATAGCCTTACACATTTGGATGCCCCTACACATGTTAAAACAGACCTTAATGGGAAAACAAATTGATTGTGCCAATAAACAAGCTTGAAAATCTTTGCTGTCACTTCATGGACGTTTTCTAGGAGTTTATGTTTTTCAAAATACAAGGTCTTTAACAAAAAATAACGTATACTTATTGTCATCGGATTAACACCAAATTTTCACAGCTTTATAAGGTGACAGTGAGAGGAACTTGAATGTGTCCAGACAAACTATTTCATCGATTATTTACCAACGAGTTGTGGTTTGAGTAGGGGGCAATGCGAAAGCTTGAAGTCTGGCGATTCTAAAAATATATACTTTCCTGGGTCTATTTGTAGTCATTTAGTCACAATTAGAAGATGAAAACAAGTATGCAAATAATAGTCCCACTACCTTAAATGTATCCTCTTTTTCAGTCCATGGCTTATGATTGACAATTGAATTTCTAATATGTTCTACTGAGACAGTAAAATAAAATAAAATAAAATGTTCCAAAATGAAAACAAAATCCTATTATTGAAAAGTAAATTTCTCCACCATAGGCATAACTACAGCTAAAATCTAATTCTGCCAATTATCATTTGAATATACCGTAAGTCATTGAAATTCACTTGGCCGTTATTTCTCTCTACTGTATATAGGTCACGTGGTACATGTTAACATGGTACCTCATCCAGATATCTGGGCAGTATAAAATTAATGGTTTGATCATTGTAACGGTATGTTTTTATTCGTATGTATGTATCGTGTACATTTTCATTTTCAAAACCGGTGAAAAGCCATGAATAGTATCCCGTTAGTGATATCCCGATCGAGACACAATTAAATTCCGATCAGAATATATATCCCGATCGGCGGTTAGTCCTGACTGAAATGTTTATCTCGTCTTTTACTAGTAAATAAATGAGCCCCGGGAATGAGCTTTCTGTCATAGTACAGGAGCAGTACTCCCGTAACACCCAGGAACGGGAAATGACCGAGGGAGGCCCAGGGTATTCCACGTCTAAAGACTCGCCATGTAGATCAATACAAATAACACTCACCTTTAACGATAAATTGTTATGAAAATGATAAATCGGTGTTCAATAAGACCCTCTGTACATGTATCACTTGCCTCGTCAAAAGCACACAAGCATCACTAATATCACGTGTACTACCTAACTTACTGGTAATTGCAAAGTTCTGCAATCACTTTCTCTGCTCACCTCCTGTAGCGGCTATCAACTGAACCGTCGGCGAGAGATACCGTGTGGCAAACAGTGCCAGGGTCATAAAAACTAATCTCACAACACCAGTCAAATTAAAATAAGACTTTTCAAACAAAATACAACTCTTCTGCAATAGTTTCATAAGATTTACAAAATTTAGAACTAGTTAGAACTCTTAGTAGCAGTTGACAACACCCACACGGAGCTGATAGCGGCAGCTCATCACGTTGTCAAATTTTATAAATTTCAATGGCGATCAGAAATATGACACTTTCCAGTCACAAATTGGTCAATGTGTATTAAATAGGTATTTAATCATTATTTTTTCATCCGTGTAATTATAATTTCCTGATTATTATTAACGTTAGTAAGTACGGAAGGCCGCCGAAGACTAAAATAAACAAACAAAAATTCTCGAAATTTCGACTTCGACTTTTCTAATAGCCCCGGGCAAGTGTGAATTGGAGGTGTGGCTGTTTTAATGCATGGTGTTAATCACTTGCGTAGCCTATGACACATCTGTTTCAGCGGTCCAACGTCACGTGACTTTGATTGACAGTAGTAATTATTCAAGATTAGTCGCGCATCCCTTTCCCCGGTTCATGTTTTTTACTTTTATCCGCCAAAATCTCAGCTCGTACACAATTTATTGTCATAAATATTACACACAGTCACTGCTGTGATATTCATAGTCACATGCATCCACTTTGGCACGACATAATCGACCTGTAAGTTTGAGAAAACACGTTTTTACCGGAGCTTGGCTGGAGCTGTTTACTACAGCGTGACAAGCAAGGAAATAATCCCTATTGTTTAGGAGCGTATTTATAGTATACCTGGGCCTTTAAACAAATCTTCAATCCAATTCCGGCCAGAAAACATCTCTGCCTTTCGACCCACTAAGAATATTTACCAGCTCTGTAAATTTCATACATGCCCTTTTTTTTTGACCCACAAACAATTACCGTTTTCACGGTACGATTATTTGTCATCAATTCGACACATCCATCCTACCAATCATCATGCAACCGGTCAAATTTTTAAGTTTAGAGGACAAATCTCCCGCTCAACCAACATAACTTCGGCTACGCGGGTGTACCGGGCTACATCACTGAAACTCACTATTCGGCCCATTAAAAGTATTCAAAAAAGACGTGCCTTTGAAGCTCAATTAAACAAACTCTTAAGAAAAGACTCTTTTTAACCTTTTGCCTTTCGTTTAAGAAACGTACTCCACTTTTTTGTAATACTATAAAATGGCAGGATCACAGACGAGACTACCGGTAGTTTAGAAAAACTATTTTCTGTGATCCTCACCGGGACAATCGAGTACGTGAATATATTATTATTTAGCTACTTGTTCCCGGTTATCAATTAAATATTAATT